TTTACCTTGTGGTAAAACTTTAAGGTAATTTCTTCTGACATTCAGTTCTCGTAGTGATTTCAATTGACCTATCTGCTGGGGCAATGCTGTGATCTCGTTACAGCTGACATCCTGTATCAAAAGCAGAGAGAGACATAATAAACACTTTTTTCCAGGAAATCAAGCATTTCATGTGAAATCTCCTTAAGGAATTTAAATGTTTGGACAACGACACAGGCATACTGTTATAATAGTCTCCAAGTCCCTAGCATTAAGGTTCAGCACAGAGAAGAAAAAGAGAGATCAAAATTTTAAACACACTCAGAGGCGAGAGAAAGAAAAGAAGGACGTTAGTAGCTATCGGTAGTAGCTTTACCAGCCTCTGGCCTGCCACATTCACGTGCTTTGATCTTCCTTAATTCTCACAACCAACCCATGAAGCAATACTACGAGCCCAGTATTTACAGATCAGAAAAAATGAGGCTCAGAAAAGATTAGCCTGTGCTAGAGTTCACATTAGGAACGAACTATCCCACCATGCCTCTAAGTAGAAGGAAAACTACAGTGTAGACTATCTCATCAAACTCTCACATTTTACAGCCTATACCTTAATGAATATTAATGCACTATTGGGATGCACTGTTTCTTTGAAATGGATGCCTATCCTATGGCTGGAAACCTTATAGTTGACCATCTTTCCATACATTTTACAAGCAACACAGTGGGGTATGCAATTCTTGTCTACTTTGCTTTAAAAGCTATTTATTATCAACCCTTGAATGGAATCACCTCCTGACACATGCAAAATGCAGGCCCTGACATTGCTAATCTTCTGTACCCTTAAGGCATCCCCCAATCCCACTCTTCCTCTTGGCTCTGGAGTGTGCCCTGCTGACCCCACCCACCCCCAGCTACTCCTGTAGCCTTGACCCGTACTCTCTCTCAGCTGGGCACTATCACGTCTCCTGGTTGGCTTCCGTACATCCTCTTCCTCCTCAAATCCATCCTTCACAGAGCTGCCAGGGTGCACATGTCACTATGCTGTTCACCAGCTGAAACACTCGTAGGAGCTCCTCAACAACCATAGAATAAAGTCTAAATGGGGTAGTAAGGCACAGTGTCCATGATGGGGTCTGTCCACTTCTCCAGCACTATTTCTCTGAATGTACGTCTTGTATCCTACTCTCCAGCATGTTACTGCTTCTAGCAATTTCAGTGTGTGCCAAGGTGTTTCATGGTCCCCACACTTGTTCAGATTTATTAGTGTTTGATAAGCCAGTCCTCATATCGTTCTCTTGTCCTACCTATAGATTATAGCTTCATTCCCTTTTAATATAAAAGCCTTCTCCTACCTCTTCCATCTGATCCCACCCCTGGGTAGTCTGACCATTTCTTCCTCTGTAATCCTTTAGACAGTGTGTTACAGTCATTCATTTGCTCATGTCTTTCCCTTTAAGCCTGTGAGTCCCTAGGTGGGTAGGACCATGTCTAATTTATTCCATCCTCCAGGTGCTTGGTGGAGTGCCAGGTATAACCTAAGAGGTCAATAAATGTTAGGCGAAACTTCTAAAATACATTTAGGGTGACACTGTGGCTCCTTCTGTCTCATGACTGGGACCCTAGGATGCTCTAACATACACATTAGCTCCCATGCAGGTTCCACTTGGCATCACAGAATCAAAGTTACAAATGATCTCAGTGAGGGCAAATCCTTAAATAATCCATTTCACTTTTGAACCTGTCAAAACTCTCCCCTTTCATCTTAGAAGGCAGCAAAGCCTTATTTCAGAAATCAGTTTCACTTTCATTCAGCTGAGATGAATTCATCAGTTGATCCCCTGAAAACTCCCAGGCTCCAGGTTAGACCAGGGACTATCCACAACACAGTGATCCCTGCCCTCTAGCCTGGTATCATCTAACAATCCTCAGGTGACCTGTCCTGGCCATGAGGGTGCTCAACTGATAACACCTGATGAAGAAGAAGGTTGCTCCTACTAAAAGGGAATGAAGTTACAATCTATAAAGGCTGACGATACACAGTGTAGACAACCCCTGAGCTGTTCTGTACAACTGTCTGACAAGGCAGTTGGAACAATATGGGCCAAGAACACTAGATGTTCAGTGTCATCACCCCCATGCTGCTGTTGCTGCATCCCTCCTCACTCAGAAAAGTCACATACAAATTTAAGAAAAACAATCCTAGTTTTTCTTAAAACAAAACAAAACAAAAAAGCTCCACAAGCACATCTGCAGAGGCAAAAGTGTTTAAGGAAATAATTATGGAATTAGGAGGGTCAGAGATTTGTTAAGCGACTCTTAGACCCTTGGTGAGTCAGTAAATTGCTCTGCCTTTCTGAATACATTTCCACATCTGAGAAGTGAACAGTGAAATGCCATCTTTTCCCAATTACTGTGGCATCTGGTCAGTCACAGAAGCCAACAACCAAATCCTTTCAATGAAAGCATTATCTTTCTTTGCCTTAACTGAGTTACAAAAAATCAAGAGGTACCTTCCACACAAAGGGTACACAGGTGATCCCTAGAAATACGTGAAATCAAATTGATCATTCTATGGGGCTCACAGGTAGGCACATCACAACAACTTTGTTATTGGCAGATAGAGGGGGAAATGTGGGGAAAAATTGATGGGAATCAGTTTCCATCTCTAGAAAAAAATGTATGTTACTAACATCTAAAATAAGTTTTGTAAATATCGATCATGGAAACCATAGATTTTCAATGTAAAACTGAAAATTTGCGGTAGTTCCAAGGATAAAATATTTAAGAAAAATCTTTCTCTTAAAAAATAAGGAGAGGCCAGGTGCGGTGGGTGGCTCACAGCACTTTGGGAGGCAGGAGTGGAAGGACTGCTTGAGCCCAGGAGTTTGAGACTGCTTGAGCCCAGGAGTTTGAGAATAGCAAGACTTCATCTCTACAAAAGAAAAAAAAATCAGCTGGGTTGATGGCATGTGCCTGTAGTCCCAGCTACTAGGGAGGCTGAGGCAGATGGACTGCCTGAGCCGAGGAGGTCAAAGCTGTGGTGAGCTGTCGTGCCACTGTATTCCAGCTTGGGAGACAGAGACCTTGCTCGACATACATACATACATACATACATACATACATACATACATACATACATAAATAAAATAAGAAGGGACAGAGAAGCAAAAAGATAACTGATATATTTAGGCAGCTTATTCACAGCATGAAATCTGAGAGGAAACTGAGCCTTATTCAATTTTTTGGTGTGAACTATAGTCACCTTGCTCTTTGTTGGTCATGCCTGGGTTAGCCATGAAATCAAGGTATGCAGTTTCCCTAAATATAAGGTAATTTTTCCAACATAATATTTCTGATGTAACGGCTTCATCAAAGAAAACCTACTCCACCCAGCTATATTTAAATGCTTATTTACCGGTAGACAAAATGGTTACACAATTTACTTCAAAAACTTCACATAATGATAAACACACGTTTTTTCCTTCTGAATTCCAGGACAGAACATCTGTAGACAATTAGAAACACAAAGTTCAATTGTCCATTCACATTTTGAAGGGTATATGGTGAAGGTCAAATTATTTTAATAGTACTCTGCACTGTGTCAGTTACTTCCTGTCCTGACAAAATAGTGGGTTGGAAATGTCCAGGCAGACTGAGCATATAAATAAGATAAAGGCTCTCTTGTGTAATCAATCTCGTAGAAAATAGTGCAAAACTCTATTCCCACAAGTCATTGAACCTTGCCAAGTTTTAAAGAGGTTATAAATTCATCACAAAAATAAAACCCCATGGGTAATTATGTCTTAATTAGCTGGGGGGGGGGTTGATGAGGAGAAAGAAGGAGGAGATAATAGTCTAGGTGTTTGGGGATAAGATATTCCAGTTTTGAAAATGTAAAAGAAATATTTCTAGAATGGTCTTGCTCTCTAGAACAAATTCAACCTCAGATAAGGTATGAATTTTTGGACTTATTTAAAGAAGATAAAATTTAGAAAAATAAACGTTAAAAATAAACAATGTGAATGCCTCCCACTTCTACAATTAGTGAGAGTTTACCAGCTTATAAATTCCAGTTTTAGATACTTATTACACTGGTCAAATGAATCCCTTCTAAATTTTCTATTAGCCCTAAGCTATTTCTTAGAGAAAAATTATTCTAAACTTCAGGGAAATCAAATTACCATATAACTAGTGATGTACTATAACAAATACACAGGCAGATCAAAAAGAATCATCATGAGCATCTGTCATAAATATTTACATAGTTTATTCTCTTTAATGCAAAAATGAATATGATTTTAATAATATAAATATTCAAGTTTAAGTTTTTTATGGACCAGTCAGTCTTACTTCGTCATTTATATATAAAAAAATGGTCAGAGAATTTGAACTATATTTATTTTCCACTAGTTTAATAGGCATGTTTTTAGGTAACCAAAAGAAAAACTTTGGAAATTTATATTCTTTCTTCATTGTAATAAAGTCTCGCGAAGTGTTAAAAGCATATTGGAGACTAATACATTTTTGCTACTGAGTGCTCTTTGCTAACTTCATAAAGCAAAAACGACAAAGGGTTTAAACTAACAGAATAAATTCAGGGATTATTATGCTCACTTTTGGAAAACAATATTGTAAAAAAGACTAGAAGTATTTTCTTAAGGAGTGATGTCTGACGAAAACCAACATAAATACTGTGTCAAGACGATATTGGTTTGATAAGAGTTCCAGTGAGATTAGGTCACACTGAGGAATTGGAGGTGGCATTCTTACAAGCGACCTTGCTCTGACACGCAGGTTTTCAAAAACTTAGCGTAGTGACACTGTTGTTTCAAGTCATATTTTTGTGATAAACCCAGCTCTTTATTTAATTGAAGAAAATGTAAATATTCTGACAGGAAATGCAGGCTATTAACACTAGCCTCCTATCATGTAACCATGCCCTCTTGTGGAAATGCCTTTTGTATGACTCACTGGGTAACTCTTGGTAAATGTCTTGCCCTCTGTGTGCCTCTATCAGAAAAAGAAGGGAGGATTAAATAATTCTAATTTTCTTCCAACATCAGGAAGATCCATTTACTACATCAGAAATAATAAAAAGACTTTGGATGAAACATAGATACTTAACATTGTAA